TGCCTCCCTCTCTTCCTGTCTCTCTCTTCCTCCCTCCTCTCTTCACACCTCCTCTCACTCCCTTCTTTCTTTCCTGCCTCTCTCTTCGCTCCCCTCTCTCTTCCTCCCTCCTCTCTTCACTGCCTCTTCTCCTCCCCTCCCCCTGCCTCTCTCTTCACCTCTCTCTTCACTGCCTCCCTCTCTTCCTGCCTCTCTCTTCCTCCCCTTCTCTCTTCACCTCCTCTCCTTCCTCCTCTCTTCCTGCCTCTCTCTTCTGCCCTCCTCTCTTCCTGCCTCCTCTCTTCTGCCTCTCTCTTCATCACCTGTCTCTTCCTGCCTCTCTCTCTGCCTCCTCTCCTCCTCTTCTCTGCCTCCTCTCTTCATGCCTCTCTCTTCCTCCCTCCTCTCTTCTGCCTCTCTCTTCCTCCCTCCTCTCTTCACTGGCTCCTCTCCTCCCCTCCTCTCTTCCTGCCTCCTCTCCTCCCCTCCTCTCTTCCTGCCTCCTCTCTTCCTCCTCCTCTCTTCACTGCCTCTCCTCCCCTCCTCTCTTCACTGCTTCTCCTCCCCTCCTCTCTTCTCCTCTCTTCTGCCTCCTCTCCTCCCCTCCCTCTCTTCCTGCCTCCTCTCCCTCCCCTCCCTCTCTTCACCTCCTCTCCTCCCCTCCTCTCTTACTGCCTCCCTCTCTTCACTGCCTCCTCTCTTCTGCCTCCTCTCCCTCCCCTCCTCTCTTCACTGCCTCCTCTCTTCCTGCCTCCTCTCTTCCTGCCTCTCTCCTCCCCTCTCCTCTCTTCCTGCCTCCTCTCCTCCCCTCCTCTCTTCACTGCCTCTCTTCCACTCCCCTCTCTCTTCCTGCCTCCTCTCCCACCCCTCTTCCTTTCTCTCTCCTTTCCTCCCCATGACTGTCTTCCATTCTTCCTGTCTTCCTTCCTCTCTATCTCTTCTCCTGCCCCCCTCAACACTCCCACTCCTCCTCCTCCACCCTCCTTCCGTCCGCCCGCCCCTCCTTCTGCCCCTCCCTCAGGCGAACACAGTTAACCAGTTACCACCATCATTATAATCAATGATCTTTTCAGTAGTCTGCCCTACGTCTCTCTTCATTCCGTTTTCTGTATCCCTCAGGTGTTGTTAATCAGCGTGTGTGTTGTGGTCCCTGATGTGAGCTTGTTACCAGGCGTTTACTGCCACCTGATTGGTTGATAGTGAGGGTAATATGAACCAACTTGTGTGATTGGCTGACGTTGTTAGTGAGGGAAGCTGGTGGTGAAGTGGTAGGGGTTGCGTGTGGGGTGTGTTGGGGAAGGGTGGGGGGGGGGATTATGTGCGTGTGTGTACTGTCATGAAGGACCAGGATGTCTCCCTTAAGGATGCTAAAGTCAGGTCCGGTTAGGTTAGGTTAGGTTAGGTTAGGTCAGGTCAGGTTAGGTTAGGTTAGAGTACGAGGGGTCACTCACTGTCCAATAAGGTTACTCGGTATGACCCCCATCAAGTTCTTAAGCGGGGACGATGGTCATTCTTGGTGATTGTGGCGCTTTTGTTTGTCTCTCAGCTCCTTGTTTGTTTCTCCGCTCCTTGTTTGTCTCTCAGCTCCTTGTTTGTTTCTCCGCTCCTTGTTTGTGTCTCAGTTCCTTGTTTGTCTCTCAGCTGCTTAAAAAGTTTTGGTTGTGAATAAGTCTCTTCAATGGACGCCTCTCCTGACCCAAGGGAAGTTTATACAGTTGTGGTTTAACTCTTTTGCTTACATTTCTTTTGTTTACATCTATTTTTTTTACTTCTCTTTTGTTTACTTGTCTTTAGTTTACATCAATTTGTTTACTTATCTTTTGTTTGCATCTCTTTTGCTTACATCTGTGTTGTTTACGTCTCTTTTGTTTACATCTATAAACACCTGTTCCCCTCTCCATCTCTTAGGAAGTTCACCTCTTAGAGTACATTTTTTTCCTTTCATGTATTCCTAGTTGCCGAAATTCCCCGTTTAAAAGAACTAACCCCATTTCGTCTCATTAATACCAACAGCCATTCAACACCACCATGTATTTCACAGCTTATCAACACACTCTCCCTCCCGACCCTGCCACATAGACACACTAGTTCATAACCAATACCTGTACACAAGTCGTAAAAATATTGTCACCTGTACGTCACTAATATCAACAGATACACCTGATAACTGGGAGGATTTAATACCATTGTTCCCTCCCTCCCCTATGAAGTTGTCTCGTATCTCGTGGTCAACTTTACTGTGGGTGGTTGAATGGGCGGTTCACTGACCACGTCCTGTCATTCTCGGTAAAAAACACAACGTGGAGGGATGAAGGTAAGAGGGGAAAGAGTGAGGGGCCTCGAGCGGGGAGAGACTCACTCACGGAAGAATGGATTTACAGACAGACAGACAGAGCTACATCATGACCAATTGGGGGATGTAAAAAAATCACAGATTTGGGTAGCAGGAGTGAGAGTATGGTGGAGTGGTGTGGGGAAGGAGTAGTGTAGGCAAGGAGAGGGGAGGAGGGGGTAATGTGAGCTGGGGAGGGGAGAGAGAAGGGGGTTAATGTGGACTGGGGGAGGTGAGGAGGGGGGGTAGTGTGGGCTGAGGGAGGGAGGGGGGGTGGCAGCATCGATCTACAGCAGGTAAAATGCAGGAGAAGGAGAACACCTGTATCGTACCTGCCCGTCCCGCTGCCTCCTGTCCTCGCCCGGGAGGTCGCGGGAGGTGGGGTTGGGACAGGTTAGATTAGGTCAGGTAAGGTTAGGTTAGGTTAGAATCATAGCTGAACTTATCTCAGAACGACGCCCATGCCATATTATATACCGCTAACACAAGCTTATAACAGCGCCTATCGGTCTCCAATATCGGCAATAACACGCGGAAAGTGCGCCAGACGAACATTCGCCAGACTAAAACTCTCGTGGCGCTCTCTTGGTATGAAAAACAAAATGTACCCTAACTGGCACCCAGCGTTGGTTTTACCGTAAAGTTTTGGCCTCCCTCCCCCCAGTCCAGTCCTTAACCAGGCTGGATTTGTAAACATTCTGCTCGTTATGTTTGTCCTCTATAACTGGCGAAATTATACAATGTCATGTGGACGTAAAGAGTCTCGCTATAATTTTGATGATGGGATTTTGGACGTGAATGTTGTGATTTAAGTTTCAACGAGTCAGGTTGATGGTGGTGCTGGTTCAAGCGAGTCAGGTAAGTGGTTGACGGTGGTGCTGGTTCAAGCGAGTCAGGTAAGTGGTTGACGGTGGTGCTGGTTCAAGCGAGTCAGGTAAGTGGTTGATGGTGGTGCTGGTTCAAGCGAGTCAGGTAAGTGGTTGATGGTGGTGCTGGTTCAAGCGAGTCAGGTAAGTGGTTGATGGTGGTGCTGGTTCAGCAGGTCAGGTAAGATGTGTTCTTACGTGTTATTTAAAGGTTCCACAGGGGGGTAACATCCAGAACATTTGAGATTGAGTTTCTTGGACCGACGGGCTGATCAACCTGGCTCTTTGATTGGACGTTTGTGTGGGTGGACCTTACTGTGCGCCTTGCTTCAGAGTCAGGTAACCTCCAGGTATTGCTGTTCCCTTTTTTTTTTTAGTCACTATACCCGGATGTTGAGTCACGATATACTTACCTTAGTTGGTGAAGCCCGCTTTTGAAATTACAATAACACACACACACACACACACACACACACACACACACACACACAGGTAGAGAAAGAAAAAAAACCTGAACCAACATCAGGTAATGCGGCCTCCTTGTTCTTGCCGCCACACCCTCAGGTAGAGAATCCCCCACAACTAAATTCAGGTATCTTCCAGGTATCCTCCAGGTAGCCTCCAGGTAATATTGTCTTGTTGCAGCCGTCGTCGTACCCACACGGTGAGGAGAGGTCCCTGAACCATCTCCGCGTGCCGTGGTGGGTGGTAAAGCCGGGGAGATCCTCAGAGATTCACCTGGTGCTAATTGGGAAGGTGACCGCTGGATCATCAACATCCTCCTCCTCCTTTCAACCACACATACATACATACATACATACATACATACATACATACATACATACATACACACACACACACACCCCTGACCACCGCCCACTGGAGACCCTTCGTTATACCACTGGCTACAATACACTAACCAACACTACAGCAAATACAAAATATAATACAGTTTGAAATACATGTACGAGACAGGTTGAATACAATATTAAAGTTGTATCATAAGGAGATGAAGTGAGGGCGGTGTAGTAAGAGAACACAATACCATGGTTTACGTGGGGGGCATCATAAAGCCCTCTTGATCCTCTGTTAGTTCTGTCTCTGTTGTGTTCTTTCTCTCTTCTCTCTCTCTCTCTCTCTGTCTTCTTTCTTTCTTCTGTTATTCACTTCTTTTTTTTATTTCTTAGTTTCTTCTCTATCTTCTTCCTTCCCCCCCTCTTCTTTCTTTATTTCCTTCTTTCTCTCCTCTTTTTTCCTTTTTTCCTTCCTCTCCCTTCTTTCCCTCATTCATTCTTTCCCTCCATTTTCTTTCATTCTCTACTTTCTTCCTCTTCTTCCTTCTCTCCCTTCCTCTTCTTCCTCATCTTTTTCGTTTTCATAATACTCTTCTTCTCTACCGTTCGTTTTTCTCCCTCCTCTGTCCCTCCCTTTTCCTCCCACGTACACCACCACCATTTTATGCTACCCTCTCCCCAGACCTTCCTTCCCTTCCTCCTCTACCTCTCTTCAAACCCTCCTTACTTCCTTCATCCTCTCCTCAAACCCTCCTTACCTCCCTCCTCAACCTCTCTTCAAACCCTTCTTACCTCCCTCTCCTCAAACCCTCCTTCCCTCCCTCCCTCTACCTCTCAACGCCCACATCTTCACCACTCCTCTCCCCTTTTCTCTCCTCTCTCTCCTCCTCCTTCTTCCCTTAATCTCTCACCTTTCTCATCTTTCCCTGTAGACTCTCTTTCCCTCACCCATTTGGTCCTTTCCAATATTTCATGGCGTGAAGGTCGACCTGATGGAGAGGTCATGTCGGCGTGGTGGAGGTTGCTGGTATGGGTCACTGCTTCGACGCCTTCCTCGCCTCCTCGACATCTTCCTCGCCTCCTCCTCACCGTCTCAACGCCTTCCTCGCCTTCTCAATACCTTCCTCACTACATGACAGAGTTGGCTACGTTAGAACACCTTTACTTCAGTTATTACTTCATGCGGTAAAACAGTTGTTGATGAACTGTTTCATCTTGTCGACAAAGGTGATGGGAATTATTATTTTTTTTATTGGTGTTTACTGTTTGCTGGACGCGTGTTTACTGTTGTTTACTGTTTGCTGGACGCGTGTTTACTGTTGTTTACTGTTTGCTAGATAATTGTTTGTTTACTCTGTTTACTGTTCGATGGAGAATTATTTTGTTGTTAATAGATCTTTGTTTGTTTATTGTCTTTACTGTTTACCTACCCCAACACCTTTCACCCCTCACCCCCCCACCCCACACCCTTTCACCCCCTCACCCCTTCCCCCCTTTCCCTCCCTTCCACCCCTCACCTCCTGCCCCCCCTCACCCCTTTCCCCTCAGCCCCTTTTGCCCCTACCCCTTCCTACCCCCTCCTACCCCTTTCCTACCCCCCTTTCCTCACCCCTTTCCTACCCCTTCACCCCTTTCCTACCCCTCACCCCCTCACCTTTCCTACCCCCTACCCCCCCCCCTTCCCTACCCCCCCCACCCCCCTTTCCCTACCCCCACCCTTTTCCTACCCCTTCACCCTCTTCCCTACCCCTTCACCCCTTTCCTGCCCCTTCACCCCCCTTCCCCCCTACCTCACCCTTTCCTACCCCTTCACCCCTTTCCCTACCCCTTCACCCCCTTTCTTACCCCTTCTTTCCACCCTGCACCATAGGAGACCCCTCACACCCCCTGCAGGTATTCTCCAGGTACTTGGGAGGAACTTAACTCTAATTCTCTCACGAAAACACCTTCTCAGATCGCAGTTTTGAGCACCATCGGTTTAGAGTTTTTTGGCCCCGAGTGTTCAAAGTTTTTTTTTTTCAGGAGAAGTTTCATAAAAAGTTTCCTTGATGCTTTTGTGTTTGGACTTGGTCACACCCTAAGACTGGGAGGAGGAGGAGGAGGAGGAAGAAAGGAAGGAAGAGGAGAAGGAGGGAAAGAGGAGGGAGAAGGAGGAAAGAGAAGAGAAGGGGTTAAGGGAAAGAGGAAAATCAGGATTGGAACAAACACAAGAAGAGAAAGTTATTAAGGGGAGATCCAATTAGAAAGTCAAACTGCAAACTCGGCATGAAAGTTGGGTTTTCTCAAGGCTCTCTCACCGACGATATTTGACGTGGTGGCCCTGCCTCCCTAAGCCCCCCCTCCCTCACCTCCCCTCCCCTCACCTCACCCCCCTCCCCCACCCCCCCCCTCCCCCTCCCCCTCCCCTCACCCCCCCCCTCCCCTCACCTCCCCCTCCCCTCCCCCCTCCCCTCACCCCCCTCCCCTCACCCCTCCCCTCCTCTCACCCCTCACCCCCCTCCCCTCAACCCCCCCACAATATTTCCTAATCTATTCTTAACAGTCTTGTGGAAGAATTTTGTCATAGAGTTTTCCGAAGCAGACCGACCGACAGACAGACAGACAGACACGCGTGGGTAGATGATGAGTGAGAGTAATACTGAAGAGAGAAGAGATGAGGGCAGGGCTGAGAGAGAGAGAATCTTTAAGCTGATTGGAAGTTACTTAGAATGATAATGCAGGTCTTGGAATGAGTGGGTCGGTGGTGGGTCGTGTGTGCGTGTATGATGGAGGAGGGAGAGGTGTGACAGGTGAGAGGGGGTTAAGAGGATGGATGGTGTTTGATCAGTGTAGCTCAGGGCGAGTGTGAGATGATGGATTGACCCTCCTGAGAGAGAGAGATAATGGCGTAGACCGGTTGTTGGCAGTGAGGGGAGGTAGGGGGTTAAGTGGGGTGATTGATGGAGAAGAGGATTTTTCCCAGTCCTGGCGTGATTGGTAAACATCCCCCACCCCCCTTCTCTTTCTCTCCTTATGGCGGCAGGGAGGAAGTAATCAATGCTGGTAGATTGTGACAGGTAGGAGGAATTAATTGCTATTGGAATATTATATGATAGAGCATTGAAAGGACTTGGAAAACACACACACACACACACACACACACTCACTCACTCACTCACTCACTCACTCCTCACTCACTCACTCACTCACTCACTCACTCACTCACTCCTCACTCACTCCTCCTCTCTCTCTCTCTCTCTCTCTCTCTCTCTCTCTCTCTCTCTCTCTCTCTCTCTCTCTCTCTCTCTCTCTCTCTCTCTTCGTAAGGCAGTGAGGGTGGTGGCAGTGTGTACCGAGGGGAGGGCGGCAGGGGTAGAAACACACGACATAAACACCGGGGATGTATGGGGTGGGTGGGTGTGGGTGATGTAGAGAGGGAGGAGGAGGAAGTCCAAGAAGGGAAGGTGAGGTTATGATGGGAGAGAGAGAGGCGTGGCGAGGGTAAGGAATGGTGATGTGTGATTAGTGTAGCTCAGAGAGAGAGAGAGAGACTTGATTGACCTCTGTGTTTACTTGCACGTACTGTACAGTCTCTCACCAATCTCCGAGACGTGGAATTAGTGAGTGAGCGAGTGAGTCTCCAGGGAAGAAGGTAAAATTTGGCACTGAAAAACTGGGGTTAATGATTACCCAAGTGACGAGTATAGTAGTTAGTTTGTGTCTGTCCGTGTGTTTGTCCGTCTGGAGGGGGGGGAGGGACGCGATACTTCTCAACACATCAAACTTTAGTGTTAATTAAATTATTATAAAACTCTAATTATTGTCTACATCATTATTACCAGATACCGATATATATATTTTTATGGGGGGTCAGAGGTCAAGGTCACTCTTAGTAAAGAGTTGGTCACATGACTGAACAGCGTAACGAGATGACATGAGGCCCTCGGGCAGTCTTGTTGATACGTGTGTTTTTGTTGTCAGAAAGTTGTTACGTTCCCATGAGTTTTGTTGTTAGCGAGTTGTTGTTTTTGTTTTAATGTATTCATGTGTTTCAGGGACCCGGGTCTTTAAGCACCGTTCAGAACGTCTCTTCCCACACTAAACGACAACTTTGAGAGGTTAAAAAAAGGTGTGTGTGTGTGTGCGCGCTCGTGCGTGCGTGCGTGCGTGCGTGCGTGCGTGTGTGTGTGTGTGTGTGTGTGTGTGTGTGTGTGTGTGTGTGCGCGCTCGTGTGCGTGTGTGTGTGTGCGTGTGTGCGTGTTATTAGTTGTGAAGGCTATTATATCATAAATTACATTAGTTACCTTCCTGGTTATTATCCCCTGCTAAAACATGCTTGAGTGGAGGGTATATAAAAGGCTTTACTCTGTTTGTCTGTCTGTATAAATAATTTCCGGAGCTTTAACTCAAGAATATGTTAATACTGCAATAACATTATCATACAGATTAGGCTAATGGTAGAGAGCTGCTTTATACACATGAATACTGCTGCAGCTTAGGGATTATTTTTTATATGGAGGATTATAGATGTCAGTCATAGTGTTTGTTTTGGTCTGTCATTGTATATATTCGTCACCAGAAACTAAGGATTATAGGTGTCAGTTTTGTTCCGTCATTGTAACTCTTCATCACCAGGTCCAAGAATTATAGGTGCCAGTGTCCATTTTGTTCCATCTCTGTGTCCAACCTCGTCAACAGGAACCAGGAATTATAGGTACCAGTGTCCATTTTGTGCCATCTCTGTGTCCAACCTCGTCAACAGGAACCAGGAATTATAGGTGCCAGTGTCCCATCCTGTGCCACCAGCCCTGAACCATCACACTGCTGTCCCATTTCCCTCGAGTTTATATCCTGGTCGCTGTCTCGCCTTTGGGTCATCAAGATCTCGCTCACCTGTGTCCGCCTCACCTACCTGTAAGCCTTAAATTACCTGGCCTTTATCTCGTACTCTGTGTCATGGGCTCTGTGTCTGCAGGTTCCCACACCAAGAGGGAGGGAAAAAAGTTGTGATCCGCATTGTTCTTTTCCTGTTTGGTGCTCGCGTGCAATCAATTACCTGGTGTTTACCTGTCCCTTTGGTTTTCCGAACTTGTTGGGGGGTTCTTTAAGTCTGAAATGGTTACGTATCTGAAGATTAGGTTAGGTCAGGTTAGGTTAGGTTAGGGTAGTTAATCTTCAAGTGAAATAATCTGGAGTGGTTGATTTTCAGGTGATTTGCCCTAAATTATCCTGGCGTTTTACATGTCATTGATTCATGGATCCCACTGTACCTCCCCTCCCCCCCCCCTGCCCCCCTCATCCCTTCCCTCTCCCAGCGGTGTTACGTAACCCAGGTGGGAGTTGCAGTGACCAACCAGCTTGTTAGTGGCGGCCTCTGGTAAAGCCTTCAGTCGCCCCTCCTCTACGTAATCAAGTTTTGGTCAAAATGGGATCAAGGTGAAGGTCAACAGGTACTATACACCAGGCGGCCAGGTAAACTCAGGTAGCTGTCGTCGTCGTCAGGTGAAGTTTAAGGTAGACTAAGGTAAACTTTAAGGTTAAAATCTAAGGTAAACGTAGGTAAATTTCAAGGTAAACTCAGGTAAACGTTATAATAAAGTCAAGGTGATAAATTTGGGTATTCGTAACAGTAAACTCGTGTAAACTATAAAGTAAACTTGGAGATAAACTCAGAAAGACTTGACAGTAAACTCAGGGGGAACTCAGATAACCCCAGGGGAGCCTAAAGGTAAATTCAGGTGAAGTGAAAAGCAGAATAAAGTAAACCTGAGGGTATATTCTGGTGAAACTGACAGTAAACTCGCCGGTAGACTCGGGTAGACTGCGGTAGAAGGTGGGAAGCCGCGGGGATTTGGTCTAGCTGTAACATCGCCTTTATGCTACGTCCCATACTGAAGACCCGTTGTGTTCCGCTTCTGGCTGACCCTAATATACGGTGGGTTCCTTTATACGGTGGGTTCCTTTATGCGGTGGGTTCCTTTATACGGTGGGTTCCTTTATACGGTGGGTTCCTTTATACGGTGGGTTCCTTTATGCGGTGGGTTCCTTTATGCGGTGGGTTCCTTTATGCGGTGGGTTCCTTTATGCGGTGGGTTCCTTTATGCGGTGGGTTCCTTTATGCGGTGAGTTCCTTTATACGGTGGGTTCCTTTATGCGGTGGGTTCCTTTATGCGGTGGGTTCCTTTATGCGGTGGGTTTTCCTTTATGCGGTGGGTTCCCTTTTATACAGTGCAGGTTCCTTTATGCGGTGGGTTCCTTTATATACGGTGGGTTTTTTATACGGTGGGTTTTTTATACGGTGGGTTCCTTTATACGGTGGGTTCCTTTACGGTGGGTTCCTTTACACGGTGGGTTCCTTTACACGGTGGGTTCCTTTATACTGTGGGTTCTTTTGTATGGCGGGTTCCTATATAAGGCAAGACACTGTATAAGGCACATTCCCTTATATTCTACTACGCCCTTATCCTTCGCTTGCCCTCAAATTAATTCTTCCCTGATCAAGCGTGTTACCTGGGTGAGACAGGTGTGTAGTGCAGGTGTGTTCTAGATAAATATGTGTGTGTCATATTAATTTTATCTTCTCTTTGTCGTCTTCATCACTACACACACACGCGCACGCACGCACGCACGCACGCACACACACACACACACACACACACACACACACACACACACACAGTGATTGACAAGAGTGGAAGTGATTGACTCAAAATAATTTAGATAATTAAGTGAATGAAATCTTTGCCGGTAACACTAATCATAATTTATATTCATCCTCTCGTATTGAAAACATTAAATTATTATTCTAATTATTTGTACAGGTGATGACGATAATTGTAATGATATTAATGACAGGAGTAAGAGTAAAGTTAATGATGATAATAATAAACTCATGATAAAACAATAAAGGCAACATGAACATAAATAAATAACAGTTAGAATCCTCTTAGTAATCCATGAGCCCAAGAAATATATATAATTTAATCATTTATCTATTTAACGCAATGAAAATATTAGTATAAATATTAAGCAATAAACAGAGACTCACGAGGTAGATTATTTTATAGGATTATTATATGTTTACCAGAATTAGAGGAAGATAATCTACTATAAATTATATTCGTTAGCAGCCAAATTATTAGTTAAATCGGATAATAATTATTAGTATTAACATTATTTAAATAGACGTTTGTAATTTAGTTCACTTTTTATAATTATCTTATGGACGAAGTTTGGAAGTTATAAAATGTAATTAATTTGTACAGGTAATTAAGGAAGGCGGGTGTGTTTACCCCTATTGACGTCACACCCAGCGAAGGATCTGATTGGTGGCCTGTCTTCCATCTTGTGTTTGTGTCTGATTGAGAAAAGGTGTTTGTTTGTTTTGAATTTTGATGCGTAAGGGTTGTGGTTTATGAGGGGTGAGGGTTGTGGTTTATGAGGGGTGAGAGTTGTGGTTTATGAGGGGTGAGGGCTGTGGTTTATGAGGGGTGAGGGCTGTGGTTTATGAGGGGTGAGAGTTGTGGTTTATGAGGGGTGAGGGTTGTGGTTTATGAGGGGTGAGGGTTGTGGTTTATGAGGGTGAGGTTGTGGTTTTATGAGAGTTGTGGTTTATGAGGAGTGAGAGTTGTGGCTTTTGAGAGTTGTGGTTTATGAGGGGTGAGAGTTGTGGTTTATGAGGAGTGAGAGTTGCGGCTTGTGAGGGTTGTGGTTTATGAGGGGTGAGAGTTGTGGTTTATGAGGAGTGAGAGTTGCGGCTTGTGAGGGTTGTGGTTTATGAGGGGTGAAGGTTGTGGTTTATGAGGGGTGAGAGTTGTGGTTTAATGAGAGGTGAAGGTTGGTGTAGAATAGGTCAGTTTTATCGTCCGTTACATCACCGCTGTTGACCCCTTGCGAGAGTGTTTTCAGCGCCACCATTCACCCTCATCACCTTTACTTACCCACAAGACGCCATTTTATAGTGTGTTGTGGGTCATTACCTGTGATGTGCTCTTAGGCAACTTTGAACCCCCACGTTTTCTTCCACCTCTGGTCTAACACGTCTTGGGAGGGCGTCAAGAACAAACTCCCAGATGTCCTGAAAGTTATCCTTCTCCTCTACCTGGGGAAACATTAATCACATCTCCACACCTCAATACTCGAGTGTAATTTTTTCAGGTGTGTGGGGGGGGCAGTGTTGCCCTCACCACTGACGTCTCATTGCTGTAGAATTTATATCGAAAACGTTCCATATTTTTGTTTTGGTGTGTGTGTGTGTGTGTGTGTGTGTGTGTGTGTGTGTGTGTGTGTGTGTGTGTGTGTGTGTTACTCCCCTGAGTGATGTATTGTTTCTGGCCTGCAAGGATTTTTTTTTGGTAACTGTTCCTTAACAGTTAAAGACCAATTCTTGGAAACTGTGGTTTATTTTTTTTAAGTGACAAAACATTTCGGTAGAGAACCGCCCTCACACACGTCCCAGATGCAAACGTCAGCAGCGACACACACCACATGCACCCCCCCCACCACATGCACCCTTGCCCTCTTCCTCCCCATACCCCCCACTGTTCACTACCAACACTAGGTCGTATGGCCACAAGTTGCCTCAGACCTTGCAGGAAAGTGGAATAATAGTTTCAACATGTTGAATGACGTCACTGTTCCCTACAGTTATAGAGCTGACTCACTGTTCTTTAAGTGTCTAGGCTTGTATAAAAGAATTTACAGGTCACGGTGTGTTACACACACACACACACACACACACCAGGCAACTCGTGCAACATTCATCTGGTATTGGAAAATATAAATGTTTTGCTGACGTATGATGGCCACGTTGGGTCTCGTCGTGAGGGATTGACAGTGGTCATGTATTTTGTCCAACGTGTAAATTTAGCGACTCCTTCACCATGCACGCGCTGGTGATGGTGGAGATAGTGGTGGTGGTGGTGGTTCGAGTCTTCACCAACACATCTCCCCCCTGATGGTCACGAGGTGGGAATAAACGTGTCGGGGTATTGACCAGTGGCCATGTGTCTTACCTGGAGGTGTAAATTTAAACACATCCACAATTTACTTAGTGGAGGTGAGTCTGAGGTGGTGGTGGTGGCTCCTCAAGGGTAACAGCCCGGAGTCTTTGATCTCTCTCGCACACACACACACACGATGATGGTGTGACAAGGGGGTCTACACCACTACTAACTTATGGACTAAGTTTATGTGCTATTAACATGTAGAAGTTATTGTACCTGGAGATATAATATAAATTTACCTTGAGCTATTTTCTAACTCTACCTGGAGATACACTAACTATACCTGGACCTGTATTATAGCTGTACTTGCACCTGTTGTAGTAGCGTAATAAATGTTCACTATTACCTACGTATTATGTCGTTCAGTACTAATATTTTTCCCTTAAAATACCTATACCTGTACTTGTTTCTTCTATCTGTACTTGCCACACCTGTCACACCTGTCACACCTGTAATATTGTTTATAAATCAAATCGTGATGGTATTCCCATATGGCTCAACACCTTTACAATTACCATGTAGATTGTAAATGTGAAAAGGTTAGGTTAGGTTAAGTTTGGTTAGGTTAGGTTTGGTTTGGTTAGGGTTGGTTAGGTTAGGTTAGGTTAGGTTAAATCTATCAGACTCTTTGTGTTGGTGTCCAGACTGCCTCTCCCTACCAACGAAGCAAATCTAATGCAAATATAATTCAGGTGAGACACGAGGATAACGTAGTGTCCGCCATTGTTGTGTTAATCCTGGGGGGAAAAAATTCTATCCCTCACGTGGGGGGGGGGGGAATTTAACATTATCAGTCATGTCAGGGAAGGCGGTAGGTTAAGCTGACTAAAAGTAATTAAAGAAAATATAAATAATTAGTGGAGTTATTAGCACAGGTATTGGTCGTGTCAGTCATTCAGTTGTTCAACGAGTCAGATCTGTCAGTCAGTGTGTTTATTAACCTGTCAGTCAGTCATTCGGTCACAGTCAGTCAGAATTACTACCCATAGAACTTACTGGCTCAACAAAATGTATCCCGGTCAGTTAAATTAGTTAATTCAGTCAGTCGGTCAGTTAGAATTACTACTTATATAACTTACTGACTGTTACCTGAGCCTTTTACACAATAAGTTACAACTCCAGAAAATGATAATCAAACTATCCAGGTGACCCCTCTCTCACTGCAGCCTCCCTCGCTCTCCCTCCACTGCTACCTGCCTCGGAGTCAGTTCAGTATCACCCTGCCATCCTCACCCTCCCTCCTCCGCTGCTACTGCCTGTTTCAGAGTCAGTTCACTTTCTCTAATCAGTAGTTCAGTTAAGTCACCCTGCTTTATATATCTCCTCCCTCCCTCCCTCCCTCCCTCCCTCCCTCCCTCCCTCCTTCCTGCCTGCCTCGGAGTCAGTTCACTATTGGATAAAGATAAACTCACTAAATTTCCTCGTTCGATCTGAGTTTTACGTCCGATTTACTGTTCGGAAACGCATCGGGCTCTTTAAAACGATTTGGTCTACAGAAACGACCTTGTTAGGGTGAGCGGGGGGGCTGCAGGTGTGTTGGCTCTCTCTCTCTCACACACACACACACACACACACACACACACACACACACACACTAGGCTAGGTTAAATTAGGATAGTTTAGGTTAGGTTAAGTTTGTGTTGTTAGGTCAATTTAGGTTAGTTAAGGTTAGGTTAGGTTAGGATTCAGACCCCCATAGCTGGTCGTTGTGTACACTTCACCGGAAATACCAAAAGGAATGATGGTCAGATTCAGACAAGTTTACTCCCCCCCTATTGGCTCTCTCTTTCCACTCTCTCTCTCTCTCTCTCTCAGTGCAGGGTTGGGTTATGTCTCACACTGTCTCCTGTCTCTCAGTGGCGCCCCTCTGTCTCTCGCCACCAGGTATTTGCGCGCGCGCACACACACACACACACACACACACACAAACTTTCCTGATCGTATGGGGAAATTTACCGTGTGTGGATGTGTGTTTAGTGTGGGGAGAGCAACAACTGTGTGTGTGTGTGTGTGTGTGTGTGTGACGGACAGACAGACAGACAGACAGACCAATTAATACCTGACCATAAAGCCTTAAAAATGTGACCAGTAAATAGTGATTAGTAATTGCTTGCTCTGGCCCGCTGTACCGAGAATTAAAGAAGTAAAGAAAGAGGAGGAAGTGGAGGAGCAAGAGGAGGAAGAAAAGAAGCAGGAGGAGATTGGAGGAAGAGGAGCAGCAGGAGGAGAATGAGGAGGAGATTAGAGAAAGAAGAGGAATAATAATAGAGAGTAGGAGAATAAAATGAGGAGGAGGAACATGACTCGATAGGAAGAGGAAGAACAGGCTGGTGAGGAAGGAGGGAATTGGGAGTATAGAGGGAGTGATATCTACGCTAAGTGGAGAAAGGGAAGATTGTGAGGTGTCTTGTTACGGCCGTCTGTCGGGGGGGTGGAGGTCAGAAGTTTCAAAGTGTCTAATGCTCTTTGTTAAGCCATCCAGCAACAAAGCTAAACCATCCATCAATCATACTAAAGCCATCCAACCCTCGCTACGCCATCCAGCCACGCACTAATCCCCATCCCCACCTCCCCCCCCCCAAAAAAAAATATATATATTCAATTTAATCTGCCTTGCTGTAACTCACTTTGCCATGCGTGAACTACTCCTCCCTCTCCCACCTGTCCACCTTCTCTCACTCACACCACTCACTCACTCACTCATTCACACCACTCACTCAGCTACCCTACCACAATGTCACTCACTTACACCACTCACTCAGCCACCATCCTACCCTACCACAATGCCACTCACTCACACCACTCACTCAGCCACCCTCCTACCCTACCACAATGCCACTCACTCACTCTCACAAAGCCATTCACTCACACAAAGCCACTGACTCAGCCACCCTCCAAGCCCCACCACAAAGCCCCTCGGGAAGGCACCAAGCTTGGAATGGAAAGTTAAGTTGAGTGGGAGTGTTTGAGTAAGTCAGGTCGCTGTTAGGAAAATGAGGGAGTCGGGTACACTGCGAGTCTCCGGGGTTTGTCCTGCCCTCTCCCCTCTCCCAGCCCACTCCCACTCTCCACGGCCCTCTCCCACTGTCCCTGGCCCCTCTCCCCTCCTCCTCAGCCTCTCCCACTCTCCTCGGCCCTCTCCCTCTCCCCGGCCCTCCTCCACTGTCCCCAACCCCTCCCCCCTCCCCAGCCCCTCCCCACTCTCCCAGCCTCCCCCTCTCCCCGGCCCCTCCTCCCACTCTCCCCAGCCCTCCCCACTCTCCCCAGCCCCTCCCACTCTCCCCAGCCCCTCTCCCTCTCCCCAGCCCCTCTCCCTCTCCTGGCCCCTCTCCCACCTCCTCGACAACTCTAGCCTGCTCCCCCTTTCACCTTCCTGCTCCTCTCTTCCCCTCACTGCGTCTCTTTCTCCTACCCCATCCCATCAGTGTATCTCCCTCCATCTACCTTCTGACTCTCCTCCCCTCCTCCTTCTCGCTCCTCCTTCCTACCCTCTCTCCCTCATTCCTCCGGTCCTCCCTCCCTCCCTCCCTCCACAAATCCTTCTCCATCATTTCTCATCTTCCCTCCTCTCACGATGTTGCTGCTCCGTTACCTGTTACCTCTTGCCGCGTGCGTGCGTGCGTGCGTGCGTGCGTGCGTGCGTGCGTGCGTGCAGTGAAGATAATATGTATTGCCTTGAGCCCTTGACACATTATGGTGATGGTGGTGTAATATGCCCTCAGCACACACTCATCTTCACACGTCGCCTGTCCTGCCTCACACGTCAGGAGCCGGTCTGAGAGGAGGCGGAGGTGGTAGTGTGAGTGTCAGGTACAAGGGACTGAGATGTGACGTTAGTGCTGGTGGTTCCCTTGAGGTTACGCCCTTCTCTCTCCCCGTCACGCCGTCTGTCACAACCCGTCACGCCTGTCATTCCCCAACACCTGAGCCACGTCTTTGATACCTGCTTGAGGGGGGGGGGTGGAGGGGAGCTTAAAGGCAGTTTTGGAGAATATTTTCATGGTGGTAGTTTTGGTAACCACTCTTCTCTCCTCTGTTCCCTGTCTCCCTCTCCCCTACATCTTGTCATCTCTCTCTCTCTCTCTCCTTTCTCTCCCCTTACCCCTCATCTCTCCTCTCCCTCCCCTATTTCTCTCTCCCCTCCCTCCCTCCATCCCCCTCGTCTCCCCTCTCCCCATCCAGGACTTTTAGCTCGACAAAAGCCCTCGCTTTTAGTACTATTTCAACCTCCTCACGCTGACCACTCCATTACCTGGCTATCACTCTCCCCTTCTCCCCCCCCCTTACTCTCCCCCTCTCAATTTTTATTCACTTCTCCTTTCCTCTCTCTCTCCTTTCCCTCCTCCTTCTTTCTCCATCCCTCACACTTTTACTCTTATTCTCACTTTTCCTCAGTCTCCCCCCTCTCCTTTATCCACTCCCACCTCTTACTCCCCCTCCTCTCCTCCACTTTTAATCCCCCTTACCTTCCACATTCATTCCTCTGCCACTTTCCTTCATTTCTCCCTCCTCTTCTCCCTCCCTCTCCCCCCACCTCTTCCTTTCTCTTTTTGTTTCTATTGCCTTGATTACCTTCCCTTCCCTTTTCTCCTCCTCCCCCTCCTTCCTTATCTTTCCCTCCTCCCTTCTCCGCTCCTCCTTCCTTTCCCTTCCCATCTCTCCTTCTACCCTCCTCTCCCACTGCACCTCCACCTCTCTTGCCCCCAGAACTAGAGCCCCCATCCCCCTAAGCCCTCCCAGCCGTGCCCCCCCCCCAACCTGCCGACGCTGCGCCATTGAGGCCAAAAAATGAGAAGTCTTGCGTCAGGAGGTCGAGTGACTGGTGACCTGGTGACTGTGTGTGTGGCCTCTTGATCGTATGCACACAGCCTGGTGACCACGTGTATAGAGCCTGTTGACCGTGTGTACACAAATTGGTGATTGTGTATACACAGTGTGGTGAAAGGTACTGACCCTGGTGAAGCCATTAAGAGAACTGCTGAGTTAGAGTAAGCCCACTGGCCTGGAATTGAGCAGGGCGGGGAGCTAGGAGGAGGCAGGAGCCAGGATGAGGCAGGGCCGTGGAGGAGGGCGGGTAGTGGAGGGCAGGGCAATGGCAGGAGGGAGAGCTGTGGAAGGGGGAGGCGCTGGTGGACGAGCAGGCAATGGGTGAGGTGAGGTTAGAGATGAAGCCGGGGCAGAGGGGGGAGGAGGAAGCCTCTTAACCCAACCCTTCCCCGCCCTACCGTACCCTGCCTTGCCCTGTCCCACCCCTTCCCTACCCCTACTTTGCCCCGCTCCGCCTTACTCTGCCCGCCCTGCCCCTCGCCCCCCCTCGCCCCCCCCCTCGCCCCCACTCTGCCTCGCCCCTTCTCGCCCTGCTTCGACCCGACCCGACCAGTGACCCGGCCGGCCGAGCCCGCCCCACGGTGACGACAGCCACGCAGGAGCCACCCCCCCCACACAGAGTTCCTCATTTTACTCTCCCTCCTGTTGTCTCCGAAAAGTTGAAGTGTTGTTCAGTCTGGCTGTGAGTGAGTGTGGCCTCTCGCCAGATTTGTCTAGGTCACACCTTCCCAGTGCCACACCCTGCCAGTGCCACACCCTGCCAGTGCCACACCCTGCCAGTGCCACGCCCTGCCAGTACCACGCCCTGCCAGTACCACATCCTCCCAATACCATACCAGTACCACACCATACCAGTACCACACCCCGCAATACCACACTCTGCCTGTACCATACCTTCTCAATACCACACCCTTACAGTACCACACCCTCCACCACCACGATCCACCACCACCGCCACTATACAGCCCCAGCACCACCACCATACATCCTCCAACACCACTATACACCCTCCAACACCACAACACACTCTCCAACACCACAACACACTTTCCAACACCACTACACACCCTCGAATACCATTCATACACCCTCCAACACCACCACACACTCTCCACCACCACCACACACCCTCCAACACCACCACACACCCTCCAACACCACCGTACACCCTCCAACACCACCATACACCCCTCCAACACCACACACCCTCAACACCACCCACACACCCTCCAACACCACCCACACCCCTCCAACACCACCACACACCCTCCAACACCACCACACCACCCTCCAACACCACCACCACACACCCTCCATACCACCATGCACCCTCCAACACCACCATACACCCTCCAACACCATACACCCTCCAACACCCATACACCCCTCCAACACCACCACCACACACCCTCCAACACCACCACCACACCCTCCAACACCACCACACACCCTCCAACACCACCACACACCTCCAACACCACCATGCCCTCAACACCACCATACACCCCTCCAACACCACCCACACACCCTCCAACACCACCATACACCCTCCAACACCACCATACACCCCTCCAACACCACCATACACCCCTCCAATACCTCCAGGCTAGGCAGGTGTGTCGCTTTAACCTGATGGATCACACCCAAGCCTCACATTGTCCTCTTCACACCTGATTTGAATACCCGATGGTAGAGATTACGACCCCCTCTACCTGTGTGTGTTTGGGGGGGGGGGAAATTGGAGATAGACGATTGGATTAATGTTTTTAACCTCAGTCAATTTCCTGGATTGGTGTGAGGTGTTAGCGTAGTCAGTCACTCTCGATGATTAGGGTGTTGCTCTGGGATTGGAGTGTCCCTGTAGGATTGGAATGTTCCTATAGGATTGGAGTGTTCCTATAGGATTGGAAGTGACATTGTGGGTTTCAGAGGGGCGATGGAAGTTTGGAATTGGGAGGAGGGGGCGGTTGGGACGAAGCAGGTTTGAAATATAAACTGCAGGCTTGGAAGGGACTTTGTGGGCTTGAAATGGGCACCGCAGGTTTGGAATGCACCCAGTAAGCTTGGAAAGGTCATTACGGGGTGTGGAAGTGAGGGGGAGGCGGAGAGAGAGGGAGACTACATTGCCTAGTTCGAATGGGCAGCACCCACTTGGAATTCTTGCTACAGCGGGTTGGAAGGGGGAACTGCACGGCGGGATTCCTGTTGCGCGGAAGGCAGATTTTAGGAGTCCGGGGAAATTAGAACCCGGTACAATAAAACCTAGGGAAATTAGAACCCGGTACAATTGAACCTAGGGAAATTAGAACCCAGGACAAACGAACCCAAAACCTAAGACAAACGAACCCAAGACGGTAATAGAAGAAGCACCGTCTCTCGCCACACTCATCACTGGATACACGAAGTTTGGCCATTAATGATGTTCACATTGTGTGTGTGTGTGTGTGTGTGTGTGTGGTCTGCCTCGCCCAACCACCTCATCGCCCACACCCACTCGCCATCTCTTCCACCCGCCCACCACCACCCGCCCACCACCACCACTACTTACGCTCATCTTATTTCTCAAGTGTTTTATCCAGTGAAAGTCCATGAAGTGAGTGCAAGACGGGGCTGGATAATTTTGTTTTTCATTTTTTTTTTTCATCCTCATTTTCATCGACTTATTCCACTAGTTTGAACGTAATTCATTGAAAGTGAGCGAAGAAATATCGAGTGTTTCTTTATGCATTACACAAGTCCATGAAATTGAGTGTAAAGACGAGGGTGGGTAACGATACTTGGTTATTTTTTTTTATTTCTTTCGTTTTTTCTCGATTAATTTCACCAGTTTGAGTGTAATTTATTGATTGTGTTGACTCTTTAAAACGGGTAAAAAAAATATAGGTAAGTCCATCAGGTGTGTATTGAGGTGGGGTTTGGGGGAGAGGGACTTAGATCTTTCATGGGGGAATGACAAATTTTCCTCTAGGTGGGGGGGTGGGATTTAATTGGGGGGGTGATAGGGGTTTATGGGATTTCGAGGGAAGAAGTGATGGGGGTTTTGGGGTAGGGGTGATGGGGTTTCGGGGGGGTGGTAAGGGTGGGTCCATGGATTAGTGTGAGGTTAAGTAAAAATATCTTGGGCGTTTCATTACGGTAATTTATAAGTTCAAAAGTCCGTGAAATGTGTCAAGAGGAGGAAGAAAAGAAGTTGTCATTTTTTTATGGTGTCATGTTACTCAGTTTATTTGGTATATTTTTAATTTGTATTTTTTTTCATCCTGTGAGTACATGAAAAGTTTGTGTGAGAGAGAGAGAGAGAGAGAGAGAGAGAGAGAGTCTCTTACCCTTTCATTGACTTATATGAAAAGTTTAAACGACAGTAAAACTCCACGAGAAGTGCCTTAAGACGTGAGTTCTCTTGTGGGAAGAAAAACGATCTTGGGTTCATACCGTAAAAACCATAAAACATCTCCAGCACGAGCAGTCAGCAGTGCCTGGCGTTCCTCTAGATTCCACAGTGAAGCCCATCAGAGAGCTACGCCCAGAAGAACGTTTCGCCTACCTTCTGCCAGCACTAGTGAACTATATACCTGGAGTTGATGTGTGTACTTCCGTTTGTCTATAATTTGGTTGGGGAAGTTACGCCAGACTAACGTTCGCCAGCGTTTTGCCAACTCGAGGAATGGTGTATCCCTAAAACCCGGGATGACATGTTTATAGCAGGTACGCCACACTAACTGTCGCCGGCACCAGCATTAGATTTTAATTGTCGGCAGCAGGAAGTTGACCCAGGCATTAGGGTATTGGTGGAGGCCGGAGTAGAGAGTACGGTGTGAAGATCAGGGTTAATGACGTTGTTAGGTTGGGTCAGGGTGCTCGTTAGGTCAGGGGTGGGGGAGATAGGGATGGGGGCGTGCGGAAGGGTGTCGAGTAGGGGGAAGGTGGATGGGGGAGGAGGAAAAGGTTAGGGGAGGGCTCTGGGGTAGAGGAGGGAGATGTGTCAATACTTCCGCTGAAGTCATCATCAAGTTAGTGTGGTGTTTTCTTTAACTGTGGTCCAATCAGGAATCTTTGTTGTTTACTTGAGAGGAGAGAGAGAGAGAGAGAGAGAGAGAGAGAGAGAGAGAGAGAGAGAGAGAGAGAGAGGAGAGAGAGAGAGAGAGAGAGAGAGAGGAGAGAGAGAGAGAGAGAGAGAGAGAGAGAGAGAGAGATAATAATTAATTTGGTTTATTGAAGAGCTTAAATAGCTTAAAAATATACAGTTACATATTTGGGGAATGGGTTACGAATTACAAATAATATACAAGTGACATAAGTGACACAAATAAGACATATAATAACTTAGATGGGGATCAGCTCAAACTACAGTTCATTTCAGCATAGTGACAGTGTAGGGAGCAGTGTTTACTGGGAGTGAATACACTGATTTATTACATGTTATTGATAATTTTTACAATGGTTGGGACTGGGTTGTTCTTATAGCGATCAGTTCGTGCACGTATGGGCTGGATGGTGGTCAGGTGTCGAATAAAATTAGCTGTGGACCAGTGTAGCAGATTAAATGAGGATGGTAGAAGCTTCTACCAAATTTGGTAGATGAGGTCGTGGTGATGTGGGTCAGAGAGCTTCTAAAGGATCACAGTGTGTTGAGCGGCTTCTTGATATGTGTGAGTGAGAAGGAGAGACATCTTGCATGCCCTCTTTTGCACTTTTTTCTAGGTATGCTTTATGCTAGTGACATTTAGGAGGAAGACCAGGTGGGGAGGTATAGGTGAGCTTAAGTATGAATGTTGTGTAAACACTGAGGAGCTCTGTGCAGGAACCTGAGGGACTTGAGTTTATGGAGGAGGTGGACGGAAACTGAGGATTTGACAACTTTACCTCGGACGTGTGAAGCTCAAATTAGCCGAGCGTCTATGGTGACGCTGGAGAGCCGTGGACCTACAACCCTGGAGTGTGTTCGGACCTAAAGTAATGGAAGGAGGTGGGACAATGTCGGAGGAGAGGTTGATGTGCATAACCATGGTCTTGGTATGGTTGATGGTGACATGGTTGTTGGTAGCCCAGTTTTGGAGACTGTTCAATAAATCCTGAAGGGCGGCATAGTTGGGAGCAGAATTGTTGACGCTGATCCCAATGGTGGAGTCGTCGACATATTTCCAGCGAGCAGGGGTTTCTC